AGCTGATTTATATTTTGCTTATGCATCATCAACAGAGTTGAGAACTAGAGACCCAGCATTACATACAAAAAAGTGTACTATTCCCCATAGTGATTGCTAGTTTGAATAGTACTGATCAGTTGTAGGTGGTAAACACTACAGGCCATATTTTTAGATACTTAGGCACCTAAAATGCAAGTAGCCATCTAACTCCCATTCATTTCAAGGGGTGTCAGGCACTTAGGTCCTTTTGAAAATCCCACTAAGCAACTACATAATTTTAAAAACTCTGACCACATATCTTGTAGTGCCTTAAGTGTCAGGCCCAAAGTTCGGAAGGCAAAATCTTTATTGTTGGGGAGAAAATGACACTGAAAGAACCCAGTTTGACTTTGAGATTCATGGACTTAAAAAGAATTTGCAGGAACAGAACTTAAAATACATGTTTACTTGTGAATGAAGTGGCTATGATAATAGAATATAATACAGGTAATCAATATTAATATTGATGTTTTAATGTAGCTTTTCAGGGTAGAATCATATTTTAATGTGAATTACTGATCCTATATCCCCATAAAAGAAACTGTGTAAATCCAACCTCTTTAAATATTAAGGTTGAGATAAACTAATAAACATGAAAAAACAGGATGAGTCCTTTAGTTTGGGATGGCAATGGTCTTAAAACAATGACCCTATATGAAGAATAAACACTTTTAAGCATTAAAAGTGTACTGCAAAGCTAAAATAAAAATTAAGTTAAACCCTGAAATATGCTGGAGATATCCCCAAGTAACAGATTCAACTTCTTCAGCAAATTACATTTAAATTTTCCTCACTCTGGTTTTAATTCAAGTCATATTACAAATATTCATCAAGCTCCAACATACAATTTTATTTCTTTTCAAGAATAAGTTGACCAGGTTGATACACTTTGCTGAAAAAGTGTGTTTTCGAAGTGTGATGGTATGCTTAAACTATCACAAAAATGGGTGCATTCTGGCATGTCCATTCAACGTGAGTGCCAGGGAGAAGGAAGGGATTTTTTTTAACATTATTACGCCTTTTTAAAAAGAAGAGTTGCTATGAGGGCAATTGCCATAGCACTGGGCTCTGAAATGGCCACGAGAGCACACTGATAATATAGCAAGGCCATTTCATTTAAGCAGTTCTGTAATCAGCCAGAGCAGGTATATTCCTGCACCTGCACAGAGACAGAGTGATTTTAGAAATGCATCATATCAGTGCGGGGGACCAATCATGCAGTTTATTGAAGTCTGATTTCTGAGTTGAATTCTTCCACAGCACTGTCATCATATACTTCTAGGCATCACTCAATTTCCACATTGGCTTTGCAGTTCACATAAGAGATGGCATTCATTTTGCTCAGCACAGCATTCAGAAAATTCACAAAGTTTGAGCATTTCTCAACACCAATTTTCAACAGATTGAGTGTCCATCTAATCAAAAAGCGACCTAATCTGAGCCAACAGTACAAAGACTAACAAGGTGCTACAGTGGAGGCTAAAAATATCATGTTCACATCTAATGAAATGAAGTCAGGCAGCAAATTGGACCATTCTATTACACTATACTTGTCAACTGCAGTTTTCTCTTTACCTACATATAATAAAGAAATATACTGCTGGTTTCTATTTCCCATGAAGCAACTCATCAGCAAAGAATATTTATATTAAAATTTTATTATACTCAGCTGCCCATTATACATCATACTCTAAATTAAAAGTTAAAACTTTCACACCAATTCATAGTATTCAAACTATTTGAACATAAAAATGTTATCTAATTTGAAAAATAATGTTAGCCTAAATGTTCTTAAGGAAAGAAGCATTTGCCAGAATGAACGCATGCTGATATATTTGGGAATAAAGTTCAATTATTGATACTTTTGAATCTCCAGAAGGTAGAAGCCATCTTGTCAATCCTTTGGGAAAGGAATGCCTTCCTGTTTGTACAGAACTACTAGAAGCGCAAAAAAAAAAAAAAAAAAAGGTTGATTTTTGTTAGCATGACACTCACATGCAGGGCTAAAGAAACTTCTATTTTATAGTGGTTTTTACAAATGAATGTTTAATACCAAAGCAAAACGCTTTTTTTTTTAAATTCTGTCAGGAGATATGCACACTAATTGACTAACACCAGTGTTCAGTGCCTTGTTGTCCATCCTAGTCATAATGTAATCATGAAAAGTATATAGTATAGATGGCACTAGCAGGAGGAAATTAACAATTACAATAAATGATATATCCGTTATTTCATTTGTTGAATTGTCTTATGAATTTTCAAATTTCTGAACTGAGCAAAATGACCAGTAACTTTAATTTGTATTTCAACTAATGCAATTGAGGATGCATTTGCAGCAGATATTGACTGACTATTGAACGTCAGAACTATCCATAACTACTAACTGCTAACAGGTACTGTAGCTTGGTGATAATTTTTCTAAGGAAGGGTGTTGCAGTTACTAAACTACTGGTTAATATTCTTCAGACTTCTTGCTGTAATGGTGAACTGTCCTGGGATTACCCCAATTCAGCACCCTATGAAAACAAGCAGATTAAATTCTTTTCTCTGACTTTCGCTGAAAGACTGAACGATGACAGTGAAAAGCTCTCTAGTGCGCTACTGACCCACTAGCACCACAGCAAGTTAACTGCAAAGGACCGAGATTTGAAGTTTACACTGCATGGCCAGTCTTGCATCCAGACTTTGTAGAACTCTATATGGATTCAGTGAACCACCATGCATTGTTAATTGCAAACCTAATGCCCAATTTATTAAAAATGCAATTGCATTTAATATGTTTGACACTGGTTTTAAAGGTTAATACATTTTAAAACTTCACCATGAGAAAAATACCTCCCAAACCTGAATTAGTGGAAGTAGTTTAAGATTATTTGAAACAATGTCATCTATAAAGCAGTACAATATTTTCCCAAAATGATCAGTGAAACATTTAATCTGACTATAACAATATTCACAGAAACTGAAACCAGCGAAGCTGTCAAATATAAAGAAAAACACAGAAACTTGCATGGCATATGAAGCAAAATAGCATTACAAAATGTCATTTCTTTTTAAAAACAAGCAAATTGGGACCATCCTATTTGAACATCTATTCAAAATACATTTTTGAACAGCACATTGTTCGCATTTTTGTCACACAGGAATCTTTCCTCAAGGGAAATAAATAGCACACAATATTTCAAAAGTTCTGCTCCCTTGCCCCTGAGGTGCTAATGTTTAGCATTAAAAAAAAGTTTAACTGGTGCAAAAAGGAAATGCACAAAGGTGCAAAAGTGCCTTTTTAGGTGGAGTGTGGGGGGGGGGTTGCGCAGTTTTATGGACAGAACAGTTAGTCCTTTACTAGAATGTTTTTATGTACTTAATATATGTATTTTGTAATCAAAATCTGTACCTAGAATGGCAGCGCTTATGCACATAAATTCAGTGCTCTGACCACACAAAAGCGCTGAACATAAGGCAGAAAAAGAAAGGATTTCAATAGACATTCCTTCTTTACCTCCAAACCTAGTTACAGCACTGGTAGCAACAGCAGAAGAATTATGTTCTTTATATTTTAATAAAGGGCCGGTCATATGAAAATGCTTTTAGTCCACAGTATGTCATTATGACATATTTTAAGTGATCATATTTGAAGTATGGCTTTCCACCACAATTTTGCTTGTGATTTTTAAAGATTTTTAGGTCTCAGTTTCCAAGTCCAGTTCAAGGTTTTGCAGTTTCAAGAACTAAACTTTAGTCTATGTAGAAAAGTAAAGAACAGAACTTTAGCTGCGTAGTCCTCAAAATAAGTTTAGCTTTCTGTACTAGTATACTGTGTAGTATTAAATACATTTGTTAATTAGGTGCTTGCAAAGCTATAACTTATGACATTATTATTGTTTTGCACTCTACAACAAAATTAGACATTTTAAGCATTTATTTGTAGGTAGGTAAGGAATTGGTTTTTTAACCAAAAATTGCTATAAATTTATAAATACAAATAGTGCTTATGGTTTCTTCACTCATGCCTGAACAGATTACAAACTGAATACAATGAAGTTACGTTTAAGCACCCCACATAAACAAGAGGGATAAAAAGAAAGATTTTGCTGGCATATACTATACTTAATTCTGAGACACTATAAATTACTTTTTCACTGTTCAAAGTTCCATAACTCTGGATTAGTTTTAAGGCTATATATACAAATATGTATATTTCAAAATAAGGGAAAGACAAATATAGCAAAACGCATTGTACTACATCTTCCTATCAAAAAGTAATTTTACACCAGGTTTTGATTTTTTGTTTAGTTGTGGTAAGTGTTACAACACTTACATTTTATTGACTTTCTTTTTGGGGAATCTGCCTACTGAATGATTAAAGTAAACTACATAATAACAAACACAATATCCTCAACCTAAGAAGACAAGAATACAAGGTGCACAAAACAGTAGTTTTGCAAACACAAGACTGATTTGAAAACTTACTTTTTGTATGTTCAATGGGAGAAAGATAAGTTTAAGTCAATTTAGTTTATATTTATTAACCTTATAAATTTTTAAATTAGAATTTAATTTTAATGACCAACAGTTAAATATTGTCAACATGCTATATTTCAAATCACAAATACCATTTAACCACTAGTTTCTCATTCTAAATAAAGTGGGTCAATTAAAAAACACACATACCGTAAAATGTTAAGATTGTCAGGCTTGACAAATATATTTTCATTAAACAGTAGGCAAATTCAAACTGATGCTTATTTCAGTGAAAAAACACAAAGCATGAAATAAATCCATGTAAAAATAGAGTAATAGATTAAACCCACTACATCCTCCAGTGTCAGTCTATGCCTTGGGCAACAGTCAAAATTCTCCCCATTTTAAAAATGGGCTACCAATTATTAAAAATATGTTTCCACATGTGAAGTCTCATTTACAATGGCACAGAATTTCAAAAGACAGGAAAAAAGAGGAATTACACATATATGATTAAATTTGTTGTTTGTTAAATCAAGCTTTATTGATAAAATGGAATTCAGAGTATTTTACTTGGAACAGCAGCAGACTCAGCCAATCAGGATAGTAAAAATGCTGCAGACTCCTACTGTATGTAGAGAGTTGCTCTCTCTTGCTCAACTGATTAGTAATTTTGGATAAGGGTTTGTAAAAAAGAGGCGCAAAGAATCAAGGCATTTTAACCTCAAAATTGGAATAGTTGTGATTGCACTGTATTACACGGCATGATCCTCTTCCACCAAAGTAACAGCCAAAACTCTCACTGATTTCAAGAAGAAGCAGGACTGGGACCATAGTAAAGGGCAACAGAAAAAAAGAAAAAGATTTGTTGAAGTATGAGCAGTATGTTAATTATTTTCCCCAATGCTAAGCAAATTCATACACTACAGTTGGGATAAATTGCCCAAATGTTCAGCTTTCAGAGTAATCTTACAGTTTTGTGCACCTCTTGAGCATCTAGCTGGCTAGGCTGCTGCTCCTTGCAATCCAAAACCACAACATAAATTGAAAGGGCTATATATTTGTTGCATCACACAACAAGCCAAACATTTCATCTAACCTTTATAGTGATTTAAAGCAGTTCATAATTAAATATGAGCATTTTGTACAAGGACAATTGCACTTTACAAAAACAAAATCATACAACATAAATTGCTGGAGTCTGATTTACAACATGAGTTATGGTTTGAAATCACGTTTACAGAAGTCTGTTTTACAAAAAAACATCAGTTCCTGGGCAAGATGTCGTACTGCTGTAGTTTTCTGGAGTAGTCACTCACCAACACATCATAATCCCTTCTTTAAATAAGGTTGAAGCTGGACATTAAGAAGGGTCATGGAGGTTGGGCTGCACTTTCAACTGGAGGATGAATGTAAACTCCACAGCTAGATGGGCAGTTTTTACCACATATCATCAGTTGATGCAGAGTCCTTAACAGAGAAAAAAGAAGGAACCCTTTAAAGTCTGGAGCGCCCAAAATTACAGCAGTTTCTGGATAATCCAGACTGAAAAGGATAAAAATATGGATAATTGTAGAAGTCTTTTTTTCTTTTCATGAAGGATTTCATACTAGGAATAGCATTTTACAAGTATCTAACATTCAGAAATATATATTCTTTAAGTTATTTTAGTTCAGTAAATATTCTAAAGTGCAATATACTATAATCCTTCTCAACCCTCTTTCTATAAGGAAGGCTTAGACTCCCAAGTGATACCATAAGTAATTTATTGAGTTAATTTCTTTTAAATGTAATCTGAAGATATGAAAAATGCAGTTAGGGCACCCAAAGCAACCTAAACACGCTCCTTGTAGTGACATAAGGGGAAAAACACTACAAAAACTGTATATGTAAAAATCAGTTTGAACCACCATAAAAATGCTAAAATGGCCACATGGTATCATTACAGGGAGGAGTAAAAGTTGTTTGCCTGTCTTTTTGCCTTTCTTTTCTTAAATATGTTTAAAGTGTAGCCTTAACTCGGAATTATCTGAATTTGTAATACTTGGTTCTTGGATTAATTACAAGATCCCTGTAATATGGTTTTACCTTCAGGTTATTAAACTATCAGCCTTACCACCCCCTTGTGGTTGTGTTTGTGTTAGGATGCACTTATATTTCTTTGTTTTAAACCTGATACCTTATTTTTTTCATTCTTTTCCCCCTCTGTACAAAGAGTTTCACAGAAAAAAGTTCAGTGAGGAATTCTAGACTGTCCCATCAATTTTACTCATCAGAAGTGGTCAACATGATTGTGTTTGCACAGTCAGAAGAATCAATTTAAGAGGAGAGAGTCTGCTGTTTAAAATATGCCCGAGTAATGACACCTCACAACTTTAGACTGGTGAAGCTGATGTGGAGCCCTACTCTAAAAGGGTGTCACAAGGAGGAAGGAGAAAATTTGTTCCTCTTGGTTTCTGAGGACAGGACAAGGAGTAATGGGCTTAAAGTGCAGCAGGGGAGGTTTAGATTGGACATTAGGAAAAAATTCCTAACTGTCAGGGTAGTCAAATATTGGAATAAATTGCCAAGGGAGGTGGTGGAATCTCCCTCTCTGGAGATATTTAAGAACAGGTTAGATAGACATCTGTCAGGGATGGAGTAGACAGAGCTTGGTCCTGCCTTGAGGGCGGGGGGCTGGACTCGATGACCTCTTGAGGTCCCTTCCAGTCCTATTATTCTATGATTCTATGATTCTACTCATTTAGCTGTTAAGTAGAATTTTATAGGATTTTCTCTCTTTGCTGGACCTGAGAGAGAAGAATGTTCATGACAGAAGAATTATTCACTCTTAAAATGTATAATTCATAAGACTTCCCGTGGGCTACCATTAGTAGATGGCAAAAGTTAGAAAGAACTGGGACAAAGAGGATGAGACTCTGAGGTGGCCATGTTTGTCATGAGCACATGGATAAAAAATTAAGTCAACACAGAGTCAAAGAGTAGAAATTTACTTACTGATAAAGTATTATGCAAATTCCTGCACTCTGCCTACCAACAACATAGATTTGCATACTTCACATTTGCAGAAGATATATACAATAAATGACTGCATACCATCTTTATGCAGGGATAATTCCATTTCAGTTATAAATATGGGTTAATTTCTTAGAAACAGGAAAACAGAAGATGCTTGATGTAAACTGCAGTAAATAACGTTTAAGACCAAGTATGCAGCTTCTGTTTTGCCAAAGCATTTCACTTAACAGGATTTTTTATTTTAAAAAATAACTGTACTAGTTGCCAGAGACATTAAAATATAACTGTTTCTTTATGAGACACAATACTCCCAAGAATTGAAAGCTGTTTCCACAAAGTGATTCAGTTGTAAATGGAATTATGGTTCCTGTTTTATAATTGTTTTTATTGAATTTTCATTTTGAAAAGCAAGTTAGGGAAGTTACAGCATAATGTAATCATATGATCAGAAAATTATGTTAACCGAACTAGAATTGTAAATATGCTAATCATAGCAACTATTAAAGTACTAAATATGCAGCCAAACAGAAGGTTACAATAAGAACATTTTGCCAGTAATTCAGGGAATCAAAGTTTCACAAAAATACTCTCTTATGAAAAATATCTTAGTGGGAAATACTATGTTATCTCTGTGGTATCAGGGATGAACCAAATAAATTTCTCAAATCAAGCAGATATCTGCTTTCAGTGATGGGCTCTGGCACTCAGTGTGTGGAAATGAACAGACAGAATGCAATTAGACTTTCAAATCTGGAACTGGTATGAACAAATGAGAGTTCTGTTGGTTCAGATGAAAGTGGAGAAGAGAACTCATAGGGCACAATCTACAGAATGTACTTTTGGGAAAAAAATTATCCCTACTCTTCCAAAGAGTTGTAACAGGGTCTGCATAAACAGGTAGAAAGATTTCAAAGCGTAGGATGGAAATGATTGGAGAATGAAAGTACTTACAGCGTCATCGTTTCTATAGGGGTTCAATCTGTTATAAACAGCTTCAATCACACTCCGTCTAAACAAAAGGAGAAAACAAAATGTTAAGGCTTTTTAAAAATGAAATCAGACACTTCCTAAATGCATAACCTTAAAAATTAAAAGATTCTAAAGGTATATTTTTGTACAAATAAAGTTACTAAGTTTCCATATAATTTATGCAATGTTCTGTTTGGGAATTAGGAAGAGTTAGTTTAAAAAGGTAAACATTCCTAAGGGTTTTGCCAACAAAATGGAAAATTACTATTTGCATGAGAGACTTTTTCAGTTAAGACTGTCTGCTTGTGATATGCTATCAGGGGCATGAGCATATTTTGTCCTGGAAGTAATAAGACAGAGGTTACAGATTCATGAGCAGCATAAACAATACAAATTTGTGTACCTGCTGGATATGGTGGCAATAAATAAATAATACACCATGGACGTATAAAGATTTTGGTTTTATTTTATTTTTTTTTTACAAGAAAGCACTGTATTTGAATGTCCTGAATAATTTTGTGCGTACATCCCTTAATGAAAGCTCTGCATTCTTGGCTTGATTTAAGTTAGAAAAACCCTAACAAGATTAAAACGTTAACTTTTTTCAAAGAGCCCCCTAGCAGCTTCCCATTACATGCCCAATTTTCAGCTTCCTTCTACAATTAGTCCCCAAAAGAAACAATCATAACTTAAAACAAAACTTTTGTATAGCATCTCTCACCCTATAACAGAAAGGTATTCCCGGGGATTTTGGTAAAAATCAGCAATGACTTTATAGTGTGCTGGAAATTTACCTTTTGTTTACATTTGAACTTTCAAGTTTGATAATTGCTTGCAAAACAGCTTAGCTTTGGTACTCCCCCCTGCCCTTTTCTTGTGCTTTGCTGTCTGCACTTTGGAGGTAGATAAGTAGTAAAGGATTAATGCCAAAGTATATAATAAAACAAAAATTGCTTGTGATTCCTGCTTACCTCACTTAGGGTGGTGGTGGGCAACCTGTGTACACCTTGTCTGCCCCTAACCTGGGGCAGATAAGGTGTACACCTCTTGTGCACTGGGGCACTGAAACTCCCCACTTCCTACGCCTCCCAGCATACTGTAAATGTGCGGATATGCACTCCATCCCACTCCTCACCTCCCTCCCAAAGCTTGAACAGCTATGAACAGCTGATTTGTGGTGTTACAGCTCTGGGAGAGATAGAGAAGAGTGGGGATGGAGTGCAAATCAGAGGATTCATGGCGCTTCAAAAGTCCTGGCAAAGTGGGGGAGCAGGAGGAAATGCAGGGCTCCAGTGCCCCAATGGTGAGAGACATGGGGGAAGGGGACAGAGAGAAGGTGCCTGGGCCACAGGTAGAACCCCAGTGGACTACAGGTTGCCCACCAAGGGCAATCATATGGTCCACTGAGACAAAGGAGGGCCACTCATTCAGCCCACTGACTAGTCTTGGATGCCCATCACTGCTGTAGGGGAATACATTAACAAGGGATTTGCTAGAGCAACAATATTAAAACAGTGGAATGCAAAGAGAAACAGGAATTACTTGCCTTCCTTGGTAAGCAAGATATAACTGTAAATATGAGGGTACAAGTACAATTTAGAGATTTTAAAAGCTTTCTCCTGGATGACATGGTTGGGTTTTGTTTATTTGTGAGAGCAAGTGAATGATGGACAAAGCTGAAGAATGTGTGATTCTTACTCTACTCAAGAGTCAGATGGAGATGTGCTCTGCACATATCTTCATGCTTTGAAGTGGCAGAATGTAGCCCTTCCCCTTGTCTTTTTGTTAGTTATGGTTTTAGTCTAGTCTGCACTCAGTCAGAATGCACTATTTTAACTTTTTTGTAAAATGCTTATAAATACGAACTCACCTATTACTGACTTCAAGCATATGTTCAGGGGCAGTGTAGGAAATATGGGCAAATATAAAGGAGTCAGAATTCTGGTGGGGCCATGTTGGTAGCATGCTAGCAGGCATGTGAACATTGGTGGATCTAATTTTGGAACGAGGGACTTCGGGTGAGAAATAAGTAGGGGAGCTCCATAATAAGCAGACACAAGGGAATGAGAAAGTCTAATCAGCACATCCACTTCCAAGAATCATCTAGTAACTTGTGTGTAGCCATAAACAACGTAGAGATTGATTCTATGGCCAGGGGTAGTCTGTCTCCATTAATAATTAATTTCCATTCTGATATCTAGTGTTCTAAAAGGTCCTGTTGAAGTGGAAAGTAATATTTTAGGGTGCTGCTGGATTTCATTGAAAAAATTTCAACTTTAGTTTTGTTTTTTTTTTAAATCAAACATTTTCTTCCAATTGTAATAATTTCAGCATGATAAAAATGTCCTAATAATGTCAGAAACCTGATATTTAAAAATCATTAAAATATTGTAAAAAAGTGTTTTACAATTAAAATAACTGATGAGATTATTTCCTTTAACAGGACATGGCAGTGCAATACACTCCAAATTTTTTCAGAACCCCATCTTAAATGGACACCGTAATTTTGATATCTAGTCAGTTTTTATAGAAGAGTTGTATAAGGACTTCTGGTACTACTATTGCTCTTGATTTCCCTTGAAAAATGTGCAGATTTACTATAATGTTTCTCTCTTTTGTAAATGTCTAGTCCTTCCACCACCACCACCCCTTTGAGCAGTCCCACATAAAAAAGGAACACAGAAAAATTGAGCCTCAAACTGAAAAAGAGACCTCTCTTTATCCTTTCAGACATTATCTCAGATGTTCCAAATAGATAATTTTCAGATAAATCTGATTTTCAAATTGAGTGTCCCTTTGAGTTACATTAAGGCCTAGTTCAGTAACTTCATTAAGCATACACTTAAAAGTTACACACATTCTCAAATCCCATTGACTACACAGCAACTTGAGCAGATTATTTAATTACTGTCCCTGCACAAGGAATGGTTTCTTGAATCTGGGACTAAACTATTATTGCATTTGTTCACTAACTAAATGCATGCATCTCAGTGTAAACAAATCAGTGTACACTCATTTGCAGATTTCAGGTATTCCAGATATTTCTTTAAAACAAAACCAATGAAACAAAACCAATGAGACATAACAAGTGATTTGCAAAATTATCATATGCACGAGAGATGGGAGTAAAATAAGTTAATTTTTTTTCTTAACACTGACAGCATACCTTAAAATTAGTTACAGTCCAGGTTTTTTAATCAACCAGATAGTGCAACTAGTTAACATATGCTGTGTCCTATAAACAGATTAACAACTAAACTGTTCTAACATCTCAGAGTGACAGCTCTGCTGCAACACCAGTAATGGTGTCTCATGAAAAGATATCTATTTTCACCACTTTCACTAACAACTTAAAACTACTTTTAAGTTAGGCACAGCAGGAGATACTTGCTCACAAGCCAAACAGAAGAAAAACAGAGCTTGAAAGAGGAGTCAAAAGAATGATACACATTCCAATTTAATGTTGCAATATTTAGATTCACCAAAGATATCAACAATAACTCAGACTCGATGTTTCAAAGAAAATTAAATATATTCTAAAAATAGAAACTGTTCTAACATCTCATACTGCCTGCTCAGTTTTCTTTTTATATAAAAAAAATGCTGAAATACTAGCATGAAAACAAAGATTTTGCTTCCATAGTTCATTTGCTCTAGTTGTTTATTGCTCAATGGAAGTCATAAATCTGTCATCACAAATATAGAAATAATTTATCACAAAGAAAACTAAAAAAAGGCTATCATGTTTAAGCCAATACAATATAAAACAAAGTCTGAAATAAAGAATTTATAATATATTCATGCTAAAAACATTTTAACTATAAAAGTATTGCATCATTAGCAATATTCTGTGCTAAAATTGCTCGCTTTATTGAGCGGAGAAGCTTGAGATTTGAATTTGATGGTTTATACTACTGGATAAAACTACCAAGTATTTTCAGACTATTTAAGCAAGCCAATACTCAAAGTGTATCTGTATAAAGTTTTAAATTAAATCCCCTGCTTAACCAGGGTGATGCAGTAATTTCCTTTAAAGGGACAATTAGCTAAAGAGCTCATTTATAATTCTAGAAAATAGGCATAAAAAAAGCAAAAATTAAAGAAAGCTGCCAAGTGAAGCACTAAATGCATTAATCGCTGTTTGTTAAGTACATAAATTACATTTTTAAAATGAGACATTATATGCATTAATTTCCCTTACATCTTAAAAAATAAAATCAGTAAACATATTAAAGCTACAATTAACAGAGTCGGCCACCCTTAAAAGCAGTCCATTTTTTCTGAAAATATAGTTTTTGACATTCACATTTTTTTGATTTTAGAAATCTTCCACAGTAAATCCTGGTTTGTGCTTGAATTTCTTTCCAAACTTAAAAATTGACCAAAATGGAGAATGGAGAATTGAGTTGAGACTTTTGTCCCCATAAAGTTTATTTTTAAGAGTGGCCTTACAGAAAGTTTGTTAATTTAGACCAAAAGCACATTTACACTAAGGTAGACTCACTTGCTTGCCAATTCACCCCCTGGCGGGAGGTTAGGGATGCTCTCAGTTGCTAACGTACGCATCACATGGACTAAGTCTGGTACTCCTTCACCCTGCTTCTTTATGATCTCTGGGAATCAGAAGTACTTTTTTTGTAAGTGCAGTCCAAATTTAACTTGAAAAGATTGAAATACTCAGTTTTATCAAAAGGCAGTTTAACATTTTTAAAGATAGCATTTACCAAGTTGGACAGTCTGTAATCTTTGGAATCATAACAAAAGAAGCGGTGTACCTGTAAAAAGCTATTATATGTTGGACCAAAAAAAACCCCAAAACCAACTATGATCTATTCCTCACATAGCTCTACATTTGCATTTTAATAGTCTTCATCAGTATATTACATTACAAAGGATATCCTATCAGGTAAACAAACTAGGTAGTTTACACAGGCTTCACTAGTACATAATTATTGTATTTTGCCAATTAAACATCTTGTGCAAAAAAGACAGGTTTTAATGTGTTTATTTTTAATTTGAATGAATGTAAAAAGATTATTGCTGTAGTAGAAAATATCTTATTTCTTCATAATAAGTTAGATATCTCTTTATAATATGCCTTATTTAGTTATACCAGACTGCACAAAATTAACATAAAAACATTAAGTCATGCATAAAGTGCCAAGAGGCCAAGAATATCAGAGTTCAGCTACAACTCCATCCTTAACTCAAAGGGATATTTCAACAGCAGGTGATTTTACATACAAAAAATCCAATTCACCTCTTCATTAGATATCAAGAGCATCTCTACAGTAGTCACAGCAAGAGTGCTAAGGAGAGATAGCTAAATTTCTTTAGCATCATCTTCTGAAGTGCTGACCACTCACACCTGCAGCTGAATTTAAGTTAGTTATCATTGTTGGGGGGAAGGGGGAAATCAGACCTCTTCCAGTTTTGTGAAATACATTAACATTTTTTTTTACAAGGTAAACAAGAATTGGCAATTATTCCATGATGTTTAAATGTATATAAATTTCTCAATGCACTGGAAATTCCTTCAAAGACATTATTTAAGAAGGATATTTTATTCCATAAATAATCAGGCTGGAGCTGTTGATCTCTGAGTGGATGTCATGGGTACAATAATGTGCATACACAGCTAAGTATTGCGCATGTAGCAAAATCTTTCCAAAATGTATTTGAAAAAAGTAAACACATGGAGTCCCCATTTCTAATTTAAATACATTGGCAATTTTTCTTTTTTTTTTTAAACACCAAATACTGAAAAAAAATAATCAAAATGTACCATATACCATTTTAACTGATACTGGACACTAAACTGTCTAAAACCAGTATATTTTCCTTCAAAAAAAAAAGTACCAATTCAAGAACTAATTTGTATGAGCAGGATAGGTTTTCTGGGCTGTAACTTTCTATGCAAAAAGTTTTAGCCCAATTTGCAACCAGGTTCTATGCAAGTAATTTACACTGGAAATACTGATATGCGCTTGCAGTAAAATAAACAAGTGTCAACATTTGTAGTACAAAATATTAGCTGTTTATTCCCACATTTTAAAACAGGAAAGAAATCCAACATGTGACACTACACATTAGGTAAGCATCTCAATACTCAAATGTGCCACTTTCTCAAGAACTACAGCCAAAATTCTTACGTTACAATCTAGCATGTATTAAAAAGAATTCTAACACTCTTAAATCTGAATAAAAAGCAAAGATCTCAGATTTGGTTTGCCAAGTTCCTTTATTGTGTAATCTTCAACATCTAGTATATTCTACATCAATCTAAAGCTAAAGTTCTGCTGTACAAAAATAAAGGGATTTATAGGTTGCCTAAACTACACAGTTTCACAACCTAAAGCTGCAGTACATTAACATACAGTCACCACTAAATGAATACATTTATACTCGGATAGAACTATAGATACAGTCTAAAATAACACTGATGACAACAAATGGAACCAATCCATTGCTTTTAAAAAAAATTATTAAATTCTCTTTTGTTTTAATGTGTTTGGCATCCCTTTCTCTTTATCCTACTTTAAACTTTTTAAAACATTTTCACTTTTTAAGATGAAAAATATAAAGATTCAAAATTACTTATTTCTTGTTTTGAAGGGGAATTTCATATAAAATTCCTAAACTCTAACATTTCAGTTTTTTTCTGAAGAATGGCCAGTTAAAACTATTCATTTCAATTACTTCTGTGGATTACATACATCTAATAAACAGATTTATTACTGTGTTAAGTATGTATGGGTTATATTTGTTTTAAAAAAAATGGGGCAGAGAGCTTTAGGAATGTGAATTTAAAAAAAGTCAAACCAGCCCAGTAACTGGAGTAATAGTGCAACTAAAGTAATACACCTGGGAATTATTAATCTTTTCCAATCAGAAAGCCTTAGAAGCAATACTGATTTATTGGAAAGGGATGGCACAAAGATGGTTGGCCACTCTTATTTTTTCTCCTGTTAGACATTTTCAGCTCTTAGAGCCAGAGAAGCATCCAACATTGATGCAAGAACACAGGTTAAAAGAGTGAACGATAGTCCAGGAAGGGGAAAGCAGAAACCATCATGTGTTCCTTTTTGTTGTTCAAGATGGCCATTAATACATGACCATCTTTTCAGCATTAAGTTAAAAAACATTAATACAAAAATATTAAAATAAGATGTTACTGCACACTTTGGGATGACAATGTTTTTATGTATCAGATCAACATGAAAAATGTACATTAAAATATAATCTAACCTCATTCTTGGACTATATTTGCTAGACAAACTGCTCAGTACTGCAGTGCTCATTGACTGGATTTAAATTGTATAAATTAGACATTACAGACTAGTAAAAACTATGTTCAGAATTTCTTTACATTTACCGATTTTCTTCAACTGAAATTGAAGCTTTTAAAATCTTAAACACTGCATTATTACTAAGGCATTTCAAGATAACAGTAGTAAGATTGTTCAGCACAGTGTTGAAAGTTTCAGCAATGGCCATATTAGTCCCACTCAGTAGACAATACTGTATATTAAGTTTCCAGCATGAAACAAGCTTATTTTAATTGCATAAATATGGTTATTAAGTTTAATGTAATAAAGTGACACTAGGGGTTGAGTCCCTCTCTCTCACATGGTCCTGAAAATTTCACTCATGCTAGTTAGGGCTATAAGTTCAGAAACTATGTAACATTATAAACTGCTATAAGGATGTATTTTTGTTTATAATAAAAAGTGTAAATATTATTTCTGTGTGCATTCTTAGACAGAAAAGATGTTTAAGTCCAAGAAAAATAACTTTAAAACGAAGTGTAGACTCTAAGGTAGCAGCAAATACATTTTTCTAAACGTGTCCCTTGAATTAGGATTAAAGTGCTTGATAAAAATGTACATTACACACACACACGCA